TCATGAGTAGCTCCCTGCGTGTACACACTTTATCCTCAATACTCGTACTGAATAAACTTGCTCCGTACTACACGTCTGTTTCCTTTATAGTTGGGCTATAGCTTAGCTGGTTCTGGGAGTCTAGCTAGATGTTGGAGAATTTGCCATAGAGATTTCTGAGTCAGTCAGGCTTTACTAGCGTAGCAATCCGCTACAGACGTTGGAATTGTCATTTGAAATTAATTGTGCAATAGGGTACTAAATGTACTTTCATTTCGATGTCTTCGCAACATAATCTTTCGAAGTTTTTTAAAAAAATTAAGGTAAATTTACTTGATTTCACCCTCTTCCGGTTCACGTACAGCGTCAAGAATTCTTGGGACCATAACATCCCCTTTAAAATCCACCAATGAGTTCATGAGAGCTTGGAGATCTGCTAGTGGTTCCTGGACTGCCCCTCCATGACTTCCAGAGTGGAGGTCGCGGTTTGAGCCGTCAACGAAAACGTGGAAGTATACGACGCCTCTGAGACCGTAAGTCAAACATGGAGTATTCATGTTTAGCCAGTAGTTATCAGATATAGCAACATAGTCAACGTCCTTAATTTATGAATACAATCTTGATAATTCTTTAAATAAGTTGAGAATTATAATTATCTAATTTACTTTCTTTCTTTGCATAAGATTTAGGTTAGTGGATGTAAATTAATTAAAAACCAAGAAGAAAAATGAAAATGGAAATCCATTTTTAAGTTTAAGTATAACCGGATAAATAAGTTATCCGTGTGATAGTGTTATTATTTTAATAATTTAATCATAGCTATGTTAATTAAAAATCAAGGATGGTTAGGTCGATAAGTCTGTAGGATATTAGTCGTATAATTGGTCTCTAAATAAGAATTAGAATTCTTGAGTTGGATTGGATTGATTTGTCTAATATATCAGAGTTCATGCGAATCGATAAATTAAACCACTATAAAGAGGCATGATCTTATCACTATACATACATCGCTATGTCTATCAAACCTAAATTTGTAGTTGATTACCAGGGGTCTTTTAATCATTATAACGAAATCGTAAATCTTTTAGCCAAGTAAATATAATTTAATCCTTACATCTCAATCTGGAATACTCATCCATCGATTTCTCCCCTCTGCACTTCCTACCAACCAACTATTACGTTCCAGGCTAACCAGACAGTCACGTTCCATCTGCAACTCCATTGACATCTAATCAGTCCTCCCCATTCTGTGATCTCTCCTCGCCACTACTCTACATCAAAGGCATTTTCACATTGCGCTTTAAGCCTCCTCATTGTTTTAGCACTACTATCAGTGCTACCTTACCTTACCTTTTCTCTACCTTTGTGTCTGTCTGTCTCTCTTACATCTGTAAATCACTCTTCTGTCCCTCCTCTCGAATTTTTCCCACTTTGATGTTTCTCCTCTCTGTGGAGCCCGAAGTCAGCTAAAGGGCTAATGATAATTATCAAAACGCCTG